TTTTTTTTTTTTAAAGCAATTTCCCCACTCCCAAGTTGGGCCAGTAGATTACATGAAAACTGGCACACCGATTGGCTGGAATACAGATGCACCAAATGAGGATTTAAAAACTTTCTGAGCGAAAAGTAGAACAAAAAGAAAAAAGAATCTCCTAGCACTTTCCCCCAAGGTTTCACTCTCCCGCCACACACACTCTCCAAAGGACCGCTACAGATCCAACTCTGCAAGAGAAGACAGGGCAGTGTCAATCGGGAGGCCGCAGGGGCACTAGAAGGCTTTCAGTCTTGCAGGCAGATGGCAGCGCTGCCCAGTCGTGGGTCCCAGAGCTGGCACTCACCTATGTCAGCTTCTTGGCTTTGTTATAGAGGGAATCCACTACTTTACTCATGTTCTGAATTGTTTCCAGAGCAGCTTCGTAAGTTTTATCTACTGGGGGTTCATCAAAAATAATCAGGACACCCTCACCCTGGTCCAAAATCCCATGAAACTTCTTATCAAGAATCATCTGTGATAATTTCCTTTCCACATCAGCCTTGGAGAGTTTGATGAGGCTAGATATGTGTTCAATCTGTACTCGGGAAAAAGGCTCAATGACTCGGATCAGGTTCTGTTCCAGGAAGTTATCATACAACTTGGCCAAGTGTGTGCTGATGATTGGGTCATCCCGGAGCTCTGCCCTGTAATCTGTCAAGGCCTTTTCAAAATCCGCCAGTGACCTGTTCTTGCTAGCCTGAGCCACACATTTCAATGCTTCTGTCTGTCTCCCTGCATACCGAAGTGCAAGCTTCCCGCTCACCAAAGCCTGGACATCTTCTGGGGTGTTGAGCATGATTTTGCACAGCAACATGTACTTCAGGGATGTGATGGCCTTGGGACTATCAATGGAGTCATAACCCTCAAAAGCCTCGTAGAAGTATGAGTATGCAGTTTTCCAATCCTTTTCCTCTGCTGCATGGATGATACCTGACTGCATGTCCAGGGTGGCCTGTAGTTTAGGGGGGCAGTAGATAGCATTCGCTGTGGTTCGAGCAGAGGTTAAGGCAGCTCGGGCTTCCGGCAGATTGCTCAGGGCATGGTACGTTTTGCTTTCTAAGAGCTGTACTTCCACCAAAAGAGCTTTGTCATCCATCTTTTTCAACTCACGAAGTAGCTGAGAACCCAAATGCAACGCTTCCTGGTACCTCTTGGTATCAAAGTACAAAGACACCAGTCTTGCCTCCAAAGCTTGGCGTAAGAAAGTTCTTTTCTCTGATTTGGCCCATTCGATGCATTCTAAACACAGCTCGACCTCCTGCCCTGTAGCTGCTTCCATATCAAGAAACAGATCAAGAAGGGATCGGACCAGACGGACAGCTTTAGCCTTACTGATGGAATTCAAGAAGGGTCGAACATACTTCAGGAGTCCTCCAAGCTCTGCAGCCTGTCCAGTCTTCACTAAGAGAGACCCCAGTTCAAGGATGCTCTGCTCTTTGACCTGAACTGCCTCCTCATCATTTTCCTGAATGTCACGCTTTACGATGGAGTGCAGGATGTCGATGGAGGCCTCCTGGTCGGTGCTAAGCAGAGACTGGGCTCTCTGGAACTCCACCACCGCTGCCGCCGCCATCTTACCGCTCTCACACCGTCCCCCTTCCCCTTTCTTTTGATAAATTTGACAAGTTTGTCAGGATCTGTCAATTTATTTTTGTAGCTGCGAGGTAGCCAAGAGGTAAGGGAATGCAGGGTGCAGGTAAAAATAAGAAGAGAAACTACAATAGAATTGAAAGATCAGAAGGTCAATATGAAAGGAGAGAGGAATGTATAAAAGAGGAGAATACAGGGGAACAGCAAATTTTTAAAAAAGCTTAAAAAGTGGGAAAACAAGTAAAAAACAAGAAAATAGTATTGGTACAAAAGTTAAAATTGAAGAAAAGAAATACAGAGATGAGGAGATAGAAGAAAACTAAACAATGAAATCAAAGAAGAAAAAAAGAAAAAAAAAATCCAGGAGAGAACTGACTCCAATAAGAGAATGACCACCACTTCCCTCCTGACCACTATCCATGAAGCCTAAGAGTCCACACAATTTCTTTTTTAATTGAATTTTGATTGCAGACAGCCACATGCTGACTCAGTGGATGAGTGTGTCTTGCATGGAGAACTCTATTGGCAGGTAGGTGGGTGGGGTTGTGCATCTACAGTAGTGGACTCCAGGTGGAGTCAGCCAGAGCATGGCTTGCTTGTTTATCTTCTTTCTGACCACTGTTACAGAGCTTGCATTGCCAGTCCTGAGTGCAAAAAAGGAAGTTTTCTTAGTGTGTGGAGGAAGGTCAAGGGGAGTGGTTCTCAACACAGAGTGTGTCCCATGCGTCTGTCTTATGCATCACTAGTTTGGCTCCTATATATCTGGAGTGGTGTCATGAGGGCTTGTTGTAGTCAGTGTTTGCAAGGAAATACATTTAACACAGGACACATAATTTATAAGATTATTTTAGAGTATTCACTCACAGAGTTAAATGCAGGACAGTATAGAAGAATTGTCCACACATTAGAGAACCAAAATATACAGCTGAGGGATGGATCCCATGGCAATGTCCTGGATGAGTCCAGCTGAAGAACTAGAGCCCATGGTAGTGTCCTCCAGGACTCTGGCAAGAGGCCTAGTGCCCACGATAATGTCTCATGTAAGTCTGTTATCAAGGATCTGTGCTTTAAAGGCCCAAAGGTCAGTGGTAGAAGCTAGAAAGTCTGCACCAGCATGGTTAAGGATGGTCAAGGATCGTATCAGGAAAGCCATCATGACAAGCATCTTCAGGAAGATCAGAAGCATACCTCCAATTCTCCTCTTATGCTGTTAATGACAATCCTGAGGTGAATCTCTCACACCCAGAACCACATTGCTTCAGTACTGCTGGTGTTTCAAGTTGAGCTTTAGTTAACCCATCACCTGGCTGCTCTCCAGAAGTGCAGGGTGCAGGAGCATGCCAGGGAGAGCAATCATGGCCGTGCTACTTTCCTTTCGTAACTATCCAGGTGCTTGTGTTGATCTTCACATACCAGTTTTCTTATCGATTTCTGTTTCAGTATGTATAAATACCTTTGTCTCTCCAGAAGACCTTTGTTTTCAGCAAATGTTTGCACATCACTGATGTGACTATGCTTCTAGTCCACCATGTTAGATCCCCTCAATTAAGTTTTCCTAATTGTTGTAAATTAGTTTTGGTTACTTTCTTAAATTTTGCATTAATAAATCAAAGCTTCATTAATGGTTTATTGGCCATGTTTCCCATTATTAAAATAAAATATCTGACATGAACAAGTTAAAGTAGAGGTTTTATTCGAACTGTGATTTTAGTGTTTCATTAGAAATAGAAAGAGGGGCCAGGAGAGGTGGCATGTGCCTGTGATGCAGGACACTGAGGAGGGAGGATTGCTGTGCATTTTAGGCCAGCTTGGGCTACATAGTGAGTTCAAGGCTAGCCTGAACTATAAAGCAAGACCTTGTCTCAAAAAAAGAAAAAAGCCAAAGAGACAGAAAGCTTATGCAAAGAGATAATTTCATAAAGTTTTCCAACTCTAAATAGAGATATTAATATCTAAGCATAGGAAAGTGAATGTTCACCAGACAGATGGCACTCACTCAAGGGTATACCAAGAAGTCTTACAGTGAAGCTTGTTAATGTTGAGAAAAGAAGAACTCTCAAGGCAGCAAGAGAAGAGAAACAGCTCATAAGAATGTCCTGGTTCATCTATCAACAGGCTTCTCAGCAGGATAGTCAGGATATGACATGAAAATTTCAAGGCACTGATGAGAAAAACTGTCATCCGAGCCTACTTTAATGAATAAAACTAACCTTTATGAAAGAAAGATTCTATCTACTGGGGTGGAGCACATGAAAGCTCTATGGGACCATGCCTTGGAGCTCAGAGTTGAGACTACCAGTCAGACTTAGCATGAGGCAAAGAATTACTGAGAGTGGCTCTCATACATTCAGTTCATCTATAAATTATGCTGGCTTTCTTAGCCAAACCCTTCTGCCACACTGTTTCTACCTTGAAGCCAGATGGCCATATACTGATACTCTGAAAACATGAGCCAAAATAAATCCTTTCCCTCTTTAAACTGAGCATGTCAGGTACTTTCCCCTAGCAACAAAAAAAGTGATCAATAAGCTGTCTTACTTGTTTTTCCCTCAGGGGAAGTTTTCTATCTAATCTTCCCTCGGGGAAATTTTCTATCAGAATCCCCTTTTAGTAGGGTCCTGTGTCTAGCTAGATATGGCTTTATGGGAGAAAAGAGGAATTCCATGTAAGTGGATCAGAACAAAAAAGTATCCTGTGAGGTGACAGAAAGAGATAACAGTGCACTCAAGAAATCAAGGAGGAGAGTAAAGAAAGGCTCATGTGGCAGGGAGATAGAGAAAATGATTTAAAAAGAGACTGCAGCAAGTGGAAAGGTAAAATAGTAATCTGAATTTAGAATTAAGCAATTGCCTCACATAAAAAATAAGTGCAGAGTGTTGAGCTACTTCTTGTTGTTTCATTTCTCCTTTCTTTGGTATTTGAGGTCATTAAATCCTTATATCTTGGTTGCTTTCATTCCTAGTTTTGTTTCCCAGATTCTTGAGCCTGAAGAAATCTCTGTAAATTAAGGGAGAAAAGAGCGGAGAATGTCTTGGATCATACCAATTCCTTCAAGTACAAGCTCCTGGAATTACTTTTTACATGCTTTTAATGATTTTAAAAAAGTGCCCAGTAGGAGCAATAATTATATTGCCCTCTGCTTTCAAAACACTATAATCCAGAAGAATTTTCCATGTCTTCAACTTTGATACCCAGACATATGTATAGTATGAATTTAATGTATATAATATATAGTCCCTCAGGAATATATAAAAACACACAGTGTGACATACGATTTATTTCAGGAAAACAAGGTTGATTTAATATCTGAAAACTAATATAATTTGTCACCTCAAAAAGAGATGGGTCTTATGACAGTCTCAGTGTAATTAGCAAAATCATGAGATATAATTCAACATCCATTCATGTTTATAATTTTAACAGATTTGGACAGGAAAATAATTACTCAATTTTTAATGTTAAAGTCTCATGTCCAAAACTAAGAAAGATATCATAATGCTGTATGTGGACTAAAGAAAATAAACTTTTGAAAATTTTATTTTAAGGTACTTGTATATAGCACATAGTGCTTACATTCCTTGTGGGGTGTTGGTGCGTGTACAGAACACATCTTGGTTCCTTTATTCATCCCCTTTCCCTTTCCTCCCACCCTTCCATCCTTATACTGATTACCTTTCCTTTGTTTTGCACATCTTTGCAGTGCATAATATTTACATTGCTTGTGTGGAGAGGGTACGTGTATATTACACATTCAGAGTCCAATTTCTAATCCCTTATCCCTGCCCTCCCTCCACTTCTTGGTCTCCTCTCCCTTTGAAAATCACCTATCTCCATTCTTCCTGTTAACTAATTTTATTCTGCTCTTTATTTTTACTCTGGTTTCTCATGTAAGAGAAACCATCTAACATTAAGCTTGTGTGTCTAACTTACTTCACTTGACATTATGGTCTCAATGTAAAAACCAGTCACCTACAAGTTACTCAAGGTTTTCTTCATGGCAGGGTACTACATCATTATGTGTAAACGACATATTTTCTTTACCCATTCATCTGATGGACAAATGGGCTTCTTCTAAGATTAAACTACTATACATTCTGCTATAAACATAAGTATGCGTGCATCACTGTAATATGCTGTCTTTAACTCTTTGGGGAAGACCCCTAGATGGAGAATAGCTAGATCAAATGGAAATTTCTAGTTTCAGTATCTGAGGAATCTCCATAACATTCCTCACAGAGCTTGTACTAGTTTACGTTCTTATCAACTATGTTGTAAAGCTCCTTTTTTCTTATAACCTTTCCAGCATTTGTTATTATTTGATTTCTTGCTGATGTCCATTCTTTCTGAGGCGAGATGGAATCTCAGTGTTGTTCTATTCTATATGTTCCATTTCTCAAATGGTCAGCAATAAGTGTGTTTATTGGCCATCTGTGCTTCTTTGGTGACATGTCCATTGATTTTTCTCATACATTTTTTTGACTGAGGCTTTTATTTTGGGATATCTATTTTTCATGTGTTCTTTATATATTGTAAATATGATTCCTCTGCCTGAAGAAATGCTGGTGAAATTATTCCTTTTTCTGTAGGTTGTTTTTACTCTGTTATTTTATTTATTTATTTATTTTTTACCGTGCAGAACCTTTTTATTTAATGAATCCATGTGTTTATTTTCAGAACTATATTATGTGCAACTGGGGTTTTCTTCAGAAACTATTCTTGTAACTTCAAGAGTTCTACTGTCTTATCTTCTAACAGATTAAGTGTTTCAGGTGTAACCCTTGGTCTTTTGCTGGACTTAATGGAGTGCTGTAATCCCAGCATTCAGGAGGCTGAGGAAGGAGAACACTCTGAGTGTGAGGCCAGCCTGCACTACATAATGAGTTAAGCCCAGCCTGAGTTATAGAATATGACTCTGTCTCAAAAGAAAACACCAAACCAATGAAAAAACCAAAACAATTTAATTCTTTGATCTATTTTTATTTTAATTTAGTACATGGCAA